AAAAAAAAAAAAAAAAAAAAAAAAAAAAAAAAAAAAAAAAAAAAAAAAAAAAAAAAAAAAAAAAAAAAAAAAAAAAAAACGCCCAAGAGCAGCAGTGACTCAGGAAATAGAGCGTTTGACTAAAATTAGGTTACCTAGATTAGAATACTAGCGATAACAGGTTAGTACAAATTCTGCTCCCGCCTCACGATCTTGGATTAGAATATCCTAGCACCTAGCCGTCTGGCGAACCACGAGAGGTTTTTCTGGTGTTTCTCTCCATGTAACGGAATATATTGCTTTACTTGCAGGGGAACATTGCTTTTTATGTGAATGACTTATTCGCGACCATTCGTTAACAAACATTTTTTTACGTAATTATTGTATATAACTGGCTTTGTTTTGGTTACCTTTCGTTGGTTACCTTTATTTATGATAGTTGGATTTAAGTAAATATATAAATTAAAATTAAAAAGTGAATTGAAAGAAAAGTAAGTAGTAAAAGTAAAATTAATTGAATGAATTTAAAAATAATAATACATAAAGGTAAATAATAAAAAAATTAATTAAAAAGTTAATTAATAAATCAAATAAGAGATAAAAATAGACACATTAAGAATATAAACAAATGAAAAAACTTATTAACTATTTAATTGAAATAAGGTTTTTTGTGAGATATGTATTATTCAATAGAGTTTTATTTTGACAGTTTCTTCTTTAATCACTTTTATGTATGTTATAGTTTGAAGAATAACAATTTATTTATAATTTATTTTTATACATAATTATAACTCGGTAAATTCTAATCTTTACTAAACCTACTTTTATTACATTTAATGCTTATTAGTTAAGTTACGCTACTTTTGTAATAGTGTAACAAGTTAACATATCTACATTTAACAAGATCATACAAGTTAACAAGATACATTTTTAATACGCATTACTGTGATTCACAGAATTTTTCTTCACGATGTCTCCACTTTTCCTTTTTAAACAAGGCTTTAAATAATTGTTAAGAATAATGTACTCTACCCAATTTACAGTTTGTTACAATTTACGAAAAAGTGTATTTGAAATTGATTTTGAAAGCGAATATTTTTATGGAAAATTACCTACTTTTTCAAAAAAAAATTAATATTGAACTTAATTTAATGAAAAAGTTTTTAATATGTTATATACACATGCAATGAGTTTATTCAAATAATTAGAAATGCTATTCTACTTCTAAAACAAAAGCTGTCCTTTTTACATTTTTTTAAACCCATAACGATGGAATATTTTCATTTTATAGCAAAATTTAAATATCAGCATTAGTCTTATAACACAAAATTTGTATTGTCGTATCATAAAAAATAAATTTTTTAAAACATAAAAATGCTTTTTTAATACTCAGTATCAAAATTATCTCACCTTAGCATCATCTTGTATGTATATTTCATAGGTAAAATTCAATTTGATATGAGATGAATACAATAATAGCTCTTTTATTCTTTAAATTCGCTTTATCAGATCTTTGAATTAATGGCTTATCAGAGCAATATCACTATTTTATTTTTTAAATTAATTTGAAGGGATTGCGAATAAATGCATGCTACTTACAACTGTTTTATTTCTCTGAGCTTTAAGCCACCGATAACACATTATCATATTCAATGTGCTTTATATTATGCAATTCAACTTCAAAGATGGATTTTAAACTTGGTATTTCCACACTTAAACCCAGATATTTTTTTTAATCATAAATGCTTTTTATCTCTGGAACTCTGTCTCTTTTATTATCTATAAAAAACCCCAGCAGAATTGCCATTGAAACACGGAAATCGAGTGTTTTCCTGGTAATACATCATTTCTACTATTTGTTTTTGTTGGTAGTTCGTTTTACTACCGCTGGACAGTGGTAGAAATCTAGCCATTTGGGAAAAAATGCACATAAATTTCCCTATTATTTAAATTGCACCATTTTCGCACAAAAATGTATTGAGATAGTGTTAAAAAATTCACTTATATCTAAAATTTAACATACGTATCTATTCATGATAAATATTAAAATGTAAGGATGCAAAAAACTTACTTCGATTTGATTTTGTTCTCTCTTTTGCGTATAGATGTCAACATGTTTGATTGAATTTTTCTCTTTAATTTTAATTTGAACTGATTTTGTATCAAATAATAGAATTTTATTGATTCATAGTACAATTATTTAACTGCTTGATATGTTTTTAATTCAGCATTTCGAAATTTGGTTTCGTGTTTGTGAGGGTCAAATCTTTTAATCAAAATTTCTAAGTACTGCAGTCTGCTTGAAACAGTAGAGCACTTCCATGATCGCGTGAAGCAATTTAAACTGTAACATTGGTTTCTCGGGCATTAATAAATTCCCCGGATGTATATCAGACATTTTTTTAATTAGTTTCGTTCTTTACATATGACTCAGTCGATAATTTGTGCTTTTTCATACAGTGTATTTTGTAGAACTCTTCCGATCTGGCAAAATTAAAGAATTTTAAAATTAACATCCGACTTTGGTAATTTTGAAAGTTTGTAATAATTATTTCTTGCTATTTCAAGAGTTAGTTCATTTCAATTTTAAATCGTGGAGTGCAATCCCGTAGAAGATTTAATGTGACGTATGCGACTTACTGCGATTTGTATAAAACGGAGATAGAATTTACGTTCAAAGCAGTAAAAAAAAATAAAAATAATTTCGTAAATATCTTCATCTCTTTTTAAGAATTATTCATTTCTTAAACTAAATATATTTAAATTTATATCTTTAGTAATTTTTATTTTGGCTATTTACAAGAAATAAATAAATAAAAATAAAAAATTGAAAAAATAAATAAATAAAAATAAAGGTAAATCAAAATTTTGATCATTTTATGGTTAGCTAGAATACTAAAATTTTGAATTGATGAACTGAGAGGTCTGTGCTGCATGAAATCATAGAATTCGATCATTTTTTGGCAGCTACAAGCATTCATTATCACCTACAATATGTACAAATACGCTATACACATACGTCGATATACAAATTTTTAACTTTGTTTAGACCAGCTAGAGTTATCAAGTTTCAATTCAAAAGTGACTACACTTTATAGTTAATTCCTTATAGTTAGAGTTTATCGTGATATTATGAACAAACAAACATCCAGCTCTCGATTCCGAATGAGCTGAGCGAGGTTCGAATCTCAGCGATGGCTGATTGATACGAATTCCACACCCTGCTCACACCAATCACAGAGCAGAAGTAAAATATCCACATGGTAGACGGATCACGGGTTAAAGTCCCTTGCCGTCAGGTTAACTGTGGGAGGTTTTCGTGATTTTCCGGTTGCTGATTAATTCCAATGCCGGTTAATTCCATCAAAACAATCTTCCACAAAGACAATTTTTCTCAATACTTAATCCAAGAGTTTCCTTGTCTTTTGGACTTGGATCAAAATTACAAGGCTACGGAGTTGAACATTGGTTCATTCGGTTGTTCAATGACGGTTATAAAGCAATAATTGAAAAAAAAAAAAAAAAAAAAAACGCCCAAGAGCAGCAGTGACTCAGGAAATAGAGCGTTTGACTAAAATTAGGTTACCTAGATTAGAATACTAGCGATAACAGGTTAGTACAAATTCTGCTCCCGCCTCACGATCTTGGATTAGAATATCCTAGCACCTAGCCGTCTGGCGAACCACGAGAGGTTTTTCTGGTGTTTCTCTCCATGTAACGGAAATGCGAGTTAGTTCCATCAAAAAGTCCTCCATGGAGACTAGTTTGTCTCAATTCTTGATCCTGGAGTCCGCTTGTCTTCTGGGTTGGATTCAAAACTACAAGGCTACGAAGTTGAACTTTGATAGTCGCTTATAACATTGATAGTGTAGCTATGTTGGCTGTTCAGCGCCAGCTATATACATAAAAAATTATTTTGCGAAAAAGAAGTTGCTTTGTAATGAGGAAAAAAAATCTAGTAAATCTCTTTTAGAATAGACATAGGGCATCAAAGTAATATACAATTGTACCAATTAAGGTTGGGAAAATTTAGATTTAATTAATTAATATTATCGTTAAGAGGTTGTGCAAAACAAAAAAAAAACAAAGACAAAGGTAACAAAATAATCATGGCGCGTGACAACTACTATAGTGGAAAAGTACTTAAAAAATTTGTGCTACAATAATCCTTAAAATAAAAAAAAACCATTTAAAACAGCAAAAATCAATACATCATGGTGATTAAGTCCAACATACCTGTTACTGAATCAGGCGGAGATTTACTTCAAGCTGAGAATATTTAAAATGACCAATTCTGAGGAGTCAGAGAAAATGAGTTCTTGTCGTTACAAAACAAACATATCTTTTTATTTTTTTAGCTGATGAATGTTCTAAAACACACAACAGGGGAATCACAATGGGAAGTAGAGACACAGCACGGTTCGAAACATAATCACAACATCTATGGGAAGCAGGGACACAGCACGATTCAAAACATTTTCCTTATTTTGTAAAACACATCATCGATTACTCAGGATACAGAGAGATCACAATCACAACATAAGGCTAGACTGAACTGGTGGACATCTTGTCAGTGAAAGGAAAACCAAAAACACGACCACACGGGATACGGCATCCACAACGCTTGCCACTTCCGTAAACAGATCTGTGATAAACATGTGATAAAGTCGTTATGATGAATCCCGAACATATCGGTAATCACGCCATCCGTACATATTCAGCTTTTTAAAAAATCATGGTGAAGGTGACGCCATCCCAGTTGGACAGCAAAACCCCCACGGGGGGGGGTGGAAGAAAGAAAAATCCCTGTTAAGGGATCGTAGTGTTCAGGAAGACGTTAAGTTATAGAAAGCTACTTGCTCCAAAAAATGGGCGGTATTTATATCATTAGGTTGAAAATTGAAGTTAAACTTCCTAAAACGCATCAAGAATCGTGGCTAAGAGAGAACCGAAGTGAACTGATGAACAGCTTAAATAAAACCACAATTATGAACTAACTGCGACCATATCGGACCATCTCCCATGTGCCTACATCAAAGGCTGCCGAAGGTCAAAGCCGTGAAGGACGACAGACAGAAAGGCGTCAGAAGAGAGGGGTCAGGGGTCGGCCTAATTTTTAGGTCACAATTTTGTTGGAAAAAATCAAATTATGTGACACAATGTCACAACAATATAGTAAGTTTTTACTGTTGACTCCGAAATAATTTCTGCGCGCCTTTTGATTGACTTTCCACGCACTAAACCGATTTTGTCTAAATATTAGTTAAGATGTTATTTTTAGCAAGGGAAATTTTATGTAAATTTCCCGAATTAGCGAACAAAAATATGCATTAATATTTGAATCCTACCTCAGAACGGTGTATTACTTGATTGGCAGCCTTCTCTGTAAGAAGACGTTTCTATACGCTATTTTAGGATATAATTAAGACTTGCTCAAGGATTTTTATACGTGGGAGAATGTTGCTAATGTTGGGAAACCTATTTTTGACACTTGATTTCTGCATCAATATGGAACTTGTACAGTTATGTATAAGTTTATATAATTAGTACTTTCATTACTGTGCATACCTGAGCATTGACATAACGATTATAAAATGTTAAGTAAGTATTAAAAAAATAAAAATTGGGGGCTAACTGCCCAATGAAAGGCCACCTTCAGTGGGCCAGAAGTTTCTTTGAATAAGCAGGTAGCTTTTTTATTTTTCAATCTTATTGCATGACCTAAATACAAGATATTAATACATTTAAAATTATTATGAGCCAGAATGACTTGGGAGCTAGAGCATAATTGCACCAAAGAATATACATAGAAAGAGAAGAAATCCATCTTTTCGAATACGTAACCAACGCGGGAGACTGCTCGGGGTGGTATGCGTTACCAGAAAAGCAAGTTAAAGAGTGAACAACGTTTTCAGATTTAGCAGAGTATTACATGTACTAAGATTTAGCACATGCGCATAAGAAGCACAGTGACAGCCAGGTGATACATTAATTGTAAATCGGTTGTCTGAGAACTCTGCATGTATGGTTTGGTACGTTGTCCTCCTGCCATTTTATTATTTCCTACTAAGTCAAAACGTGTTAGCAGATTTAATAACAGAAATGTATTCGCAAAGAAGTATCTTAATTAATGGTACAGTATCTGTTAATCTATGGTATAAAAAATACGGAACAAGCCATCAATGAATAAAAAGCGAGAAATTTTGTCTCTTCCTCAACTCCAGCAGTGATTGGGAGGAGAAGGAGGTGCAAATCCGTATCAAGAACCACTTTTTCTATGCCCCTAAATATTGTTTTTTCCTTATACGCAGGAACCGCTCCAAACCTTGGAGGACTGGTTTACATTTTGTCTATGGAAGCTAGTATTCTTCCCCTATGTATATTCTGCGGTTGCACCATTTTTTTAAGGGATTTCTAATATTTCCAAATATTTAATGAGTGCAACTTGATTTAGCAAGGATAAATTAGATTAATATATAATTTAATTTTCTTAACTTCTGACAAATTTGTACAATGTTAGAATTTGCATTCTAGAATTGTGATAAAATAACAGGCAGCCGTCTGTTCAACCGATTAACCGTAATTAACCTTTACTGTTTTGAAACCGTTTAATACTAGCATGCTTAGGAAATCATGAATACAAGGCTATACGTTTTTTTTTATCCATTTTTAACGTGCACAGTTTTAAAACCATAAGAAAAAAGAATGTAACTGGACATTGGAATCAGTTTAGAATTTATATGGTGCTGCTATCTATGCATGAATGAGAGTATAGTATTCAAATAGGCCTGGGTCACAAATTGGGGAGCGCAGGACATTGGAAATACTTCATGTGTGGAATTGAAAGGAGGAAATATTGTAGTGTCAAGACTGAGATTCGAGCCCTGTTCTGTCGGTCATGAGAAAATTAAAACCCAATTAAAGTCTTTATGATGTCTTTAATTCATGTATAGTGAAAAATTGGAAGAAAAATTCAAAATTTGCACTTAAACGGGAAATATTTTTAAATTAAAATTAATCAACGAACAAGATGTTATTTTCAAAATTCTTACATTGTATATTAAACAGTCACTAGAAAGCACCTGCCGACATAAACTGCAAAAAAAATTGAGCTGGAAGGAGCTACCAATGATAGCCCCCATATAAAACCAATGATATCAATGATGGCCCCCCTCCCTGTTTACCAAAATCGCGATAAATGTTAAACTACTGTTAAATATTAATTTTAAAATTACGATGTTTTAAAAATTAAAATTCACAAAATAAAAAATAAATTTACTGTCACGCGAAGGCTTTATCGATATTTATATTAATACACATATTCTCTTTTGTTAACATAATGCTTTTTATGATCAATAAAACATTGACTAAGCAACGAAATAGAATTTGATAATAATGGATAGAAAATGCATGAAATATGAATGAAACATAACAAATAGGGGAAAAACATAGAAACCATAACCACGCAGCCCATATCTTTTGTCAGCAGCTTTGTCTTTTTTTCCCTTATTCAGTTTTATTTTATGTTTGTTGCACAATTGTTGTCATAGAAACCAATACTTGTTGCATGTTATAGTCGAAAATTTTGTTTTTGGACTTCTATTAAGTTCTAAAAATTCTTTATATGACAAAGAAGAGTTTGTTGTTATTTTTTTTCCATTTAAGTTCAATAGCCAATTATCACTAGTTAAAATGCTGATAATGATACCTTAATAGATAGAGCTGATTTTCTAGATTAAATTGATAAACCTGGCACATGTATAAATACGTATAAGCCTATCTTTATAAAGACTGGAGTTTGTAAAAAGACAGATAATTTTTCATTGAAATTTAAAAAAAAAAGAAATATTATTTGAAAGGATAGTAAAACGTGTCAGATAAATTGACGATGTGAGTCATATATTAACGGAGTTAAATTTAAAAAAAATCTATAATCTGGCTCCTTATCTGAAAATTAGAAAAAAAAATGACAGTGAAACTATTTTATTTACATTTTGTTTTCAGAAGGAGTAAGACATCCGTGATCACCATGGCATATGTTATATCGATACAGTATGTATACAGGACTATTTCTCGTTTGAATAAATATTCAATTTCTCCCTAAAACAAGCTAGAGAGGAAATAAATTGAGTGCAAGATTTTCTTTCTTTACTTATTATATTTTTTTTTTAAGATTTCCAAATACAGTTCTTTGCAGTAGTTTCTCTTGTGCCCCGAAATCCTTATTTTTCAAAATGATATA